GCACAGGAAAACAATGAGGTAAATGTCACATAAGTTACCTTCATCTGTGTGTGAAACAGGAAGACTCTTTCTCTGGTTTTCTCCCTGGTCCCCACTCTCAGCATTATGACTAATGTAAAGGCTGCACACTTGTAATACACATGAAAACCCCAACAACCAACACAGACCTCACACCACCCAACAGAGAGTATGGGGGAGAAAGATGGGGTGGGAAACCACCGTACAAAAATGTCTAACGAGAAAAGTATTCGCCCTTATAAAAGGCTCTGGTAACATATTGTACTTGTTCAGAATCCAAGAATACTGCTTCTAAAAACTCCCTTTTGGTGAAAAAAGACACAGCTAATAATAATAATAGATGGGGGAAAATCCATCTCTACCCACTCTCTGGGATATACATGTGCACACGCCCTCCAAAAAAAAAACAAAAACAAAAACCCTAACAGTGCTAGTTCCTGAGTAGGCATTCAAAAAATATTTCTTGATGGTCCCCAGCCTTGGTCCTCCATTTCAGCATGAGATCTTAACAAGCAAGCAATCTTACTGGAAAACTTGACACCTGAGCAGTAGGAGTAAATCTATATAGAACACTACTGACTCCATGGTGATCAAGTAAGAACAGTAGACTGTTTGGTTTTAAAAGTGCACCATTATTTTATGAAAGGACCAGAGCCAGCACTCCATCCTCAGATGCTAAGGGAGACAGGGAGAAGGAAAAGTTGATGAGAAAAGATAACAAGCTTAGTCTTCGCCTCACTACATGTGAGAAAGCAATCAGATCCCTAGTCAGCTCTATATGGAGAACAGCAAGAGAAAGTTCTGAACATCTTGGGAGAAACCAGGCACGGGGACATAAGCCTGTATTATTGCTAAGGGCTAAAGATCTGCACCCAGACCTAAGCGAGCTACTGAATGACCCTCTTTGTTGTTCTGATGCTTGGCCAGAACAAGTTTGAAAGTAGTAACCAAGGAAATGGCAGGAGACAAAACATTTTAATTGTAATGGGTAACAATTACAATTCTTTTTTAATTTTTTTTTTTTTTAAGATTTTATTTATTTGCGAGAGAGAATGAGAGACAAAAAGAGCATGAGAGGGAGGAGGGTCAGAGGGAGAAGCAGACTCCCTGGTGAGCAGGGAGCCTGATGTGGGACTCAATCCCGGGACTCCAGGATCATGACCTGAGCCAAAGGCAATCGCTTAACCAACTGAGCCACCCAGGTGCCCAACAATTACAATTCTTAAAAATTTCAGTTAATCCTGTCCTAGAGAAGGATCTTTTGGATAAATCCAAGTAATGAGATTTAGGTGGGCTAAATTCATCTCTCTCTGCTTTATATCACTTTCTGTTCAATTACCGATCTACTAGTTATTTTTCTCAGCCCAACTGTGAGGAACACAAAAACTTATATGTTACAACTAACTCATGAATTGAGGTTGGGATTGTCACATGTCATCACAAGGTGATTTCAGGGCCACTTTCAAGTTATTGCAAAATGTCACTCAGTTTTTTACTTAAAAACTTTTATAAACTGGCCAAATATTGGTTTTCTATTTACATTATCTATTTAGTAGGAGAAAACACATTTTATTATGACACTGAATCAGAGTGATTTTCTGGGCAATGGCTCCTGGAGAATTGTCTCCTTGTTGTTGTCATAAGCAGTCTGCTTTTTGATAACATTGTGCCACAGCTTGGCCATTACTTGTCTAACAGAATTAGCAGTGGGAGTGAACTGGCCCCCAAGCAGCAGGGTGCTAGAGCTTATAGCCCCCAAGTCCTATAAAGGCAGCCATCCCTGGATTAAGCTCTTTTTATTTCTTGATTGTTTAATGTCTTGCATATTATAATCAGTGCTTTAATTCAGGATTTGGGCCTTCTGGCAGTTTTCTGAAGGGCACACATTTTGAAGTCAACTAATTATCGTGTGCTCTTTTCTTCAGTCACCACAAGTTCTGTGGTCTGACAGTATTTCTATACTTGGCGGTCATGTTAATCTTTAAGCTGATGCTGCCCTAGGGGTTGCCAATGCAGAAGAGTCAGATAGTGACAAAGCATGGCTCACGCCTCTAGAAGGGCTTTATGCATTGGCAGTGATAAAGGGAAAGGAAAAGAGAGATTATGTGACACTGCATTTAACTGAGACAGTCTGTAAATCAACTTTTCTGCCTGAAAACAAGTACACATTTTGGAGAAGAATACATTCATCTCTCTATTGTTAGAATTGCGTGAGCGCTCAAAAAAAGGGTATGAGCCTCTATTCTGTGAAACAAAGACTGTTAACTATAAACCAATGAGATATAAAAGTTCTAAGTAAGTGGAAAGACATCAATCTTATTCCAGTGTATCCATGACACATGCTCTGGAGGAAGCTTATGAAAGTAAGCATGCATCACAGGAAGTAGCATTTCTGATTTAATTCTGTGAAGAAATGCACAGCTACTGGGTTAGTTTTTGTTGTACCATTACTATCCAAGTTGAAAAAGTCAAAATCCTTTTTTTTTTTTAACATATAATGTATTATTTGTTTCAGAGGTACAGGTCTGTGATTCAACAGTCTTACACAATTCACAGCCCTCACCATAGCATATACCCTCCCCAATGTCTATCACCCAGCCACCCCATCCCTCCCACCCCCCACCACTCCAGCACCCCTCAGTTTGTTTCCCAAGATTAAGAATTCCTCATATCAGTGAGGTCATATGATACATGATAGTAGGAAGGGGAAAATGAAGGGGGCGAATCGGAGGGGGAGACGAACCATGAGAGACTATGGACTCTGAGAAACAAACTGAGGGTTCTAGAGGGGAGGGGGTTGGGGGGATGGGTTAGCCTGGTGATGGGTATTAAAGAGGGCACGTTCTGCATGGAGCACTGGGTGTTATACGCAAACAACGAAGCATGCAACACTACATCAAAAACTAATGATGTAATGTATGGTGATTAACATAATAAAATAAAATTTAAAAAAAAAGTCAACATCCAAAAGCAAGAATTCTTTTTTGTAAGAAGGGGGAAACATGAGAACATAGACTCATATTTGCTTGTGAGTACATAAAAAAATGCCAGGAGGATAGAATGGGGCTGGGAATACCGGAATAGAGAGGAATGGAGAGCGGAAATGGGAGTCAGAGTTTTCTATTGCCTACAGTTTTATTATCATTATCATGTGCCAATGTGAATATACCTAATTCAAAAATTATGTTTATTAAAATAATGAAATTAAATAGGAGATAGTAAAAGCAAAGAACAAATTACATAAACAAGAGGTTGGCAAAAGGAGAAATAACAATCTTCCTACCAAAACAAGCTGAAACATATGTTTACTTGTAAAAAACCTGTTAAATGGGGATATCTGCTAAAACTAGATGGTGGGCCCCTACTGTGTGTTATATTATTGTCTGTAGCCCACCTTTGCAAGACTGAAATATTTCCCCCTCCAAAAAAAAAAAAATGTGTAAGAAATTTTCCTTTTTTTCATCAAAGTAATCTATCCTTATACAAGGGGGAAACGTTTTTATGAAAATGGAGGCCATGTAGTGACTGGTTTGCTTTAAAACTATTTGCTTTTTACTTTCATAACCTGACAAGATTTCTATATTTACCAAATAGGTAGTACTTATGACAAAAATACATGGGGACATCATGAGATATTGCACAGTGTACTGCCTGCAAAGAGAAATTAGAAAGGAAAGCAGGTTTCTTCCCTCAAGTTGATAATCCTAAACCCTGGAAGCCTAATGCAGGAGCTCTACTGCCTTTCCAATTTTGAAAAAAACTTTAACCAATGCCTTCTGTTTCCCAGACCTTCTTCCTCTCACACTTTGGGGATTAGACCCAGATCAGGCTCAAACTGAGTAGAGAAAATTGTCTGCCCTAGTTAACTGGGGCCTACAGGATGCTCGTGCCCCATTTCCAGTCCTATGAGAAACCTGTAAAACCAGGGCAGGCTGTGTATCAGCCACCCAGGATAGAGGGTGTTCTAAAGTTTGTGTCAGAATCTCAGGGGTAGGGGCGCCTGGGTGGCTCAGTCGCTTGAGCAACTGCCTTCGGCTCGGGTCGTGATCTCAGGGTCCTGGGATCGAGCCCCGCATCGGGCTCCCTGCTCTGCGGGGAGCCTGCTTCTCCCTCTCCCACTCCCCTGCTTGTGTTCCCTCTCTCTCTGTTAAATAGATGAAATCTTTAAAAAAAAAAAAAAAAAAAAAGAATCTCAGGGGTATTCTGGATTCATGATAAATCATCAGAAGGTAACCCTTGGTAGGATGGAAAGCAAAGGTTCTATCAGGCTGAACGCACTCAATTTCCCGGGGCCGCTTCAGACTATGGCTGTCTCATCCAGATCCATGCCTCTGGATTCTCTTTTGGGGGGTATTTACTAAGTGATTGTAGGTCTGTTGAACTTGGGTGGGTGCCCTAGCCAGGCAAACTCCTCCTCTGTTTAACTAAGGCTCAGCGGAGGTGCAGCACAGGACAATCTTTCTAGTGTTACTTTCTCAACCGCTTCCCATCTCAAGAGTGTCCCCATGTCAGCGGCCATGAGAGACCCTCCATATACATGATCTCCAATTCTGACAACAACCCAGCAAGACTGTTGCTGTTGGTTCCATGTTACAAATGAGAGCAAAGGAGGCTGAAGGAGTTCAAGGGTGAGGCAAATGACTTAAGGCCATATAGTTAGCTTTATAGTAGAACTAATAACTCAAATCCAGGTCTGATTCTGCAAGCCATGTTTTTTCTACTACAGCATATGACTTTTGATGTCATAACTTTCAGGTTTAGGAGTTTGAACATTATGTAGTTAAACTTAGGATGACAAATCCATATATTCTAATTTGTGCTTGGGCATATTTAAAGCCATTTATAAAGACAAATGACAGTCACCTAAAAACAATTTGCTTGGGAATGCAAAGCTATTCAAAAGATAAACATTACATTTTCCTGCACATAAAAACAGTATTAAAAAATTAAATTATAACCCCAAAGAAATGTATAAATCTTACCACCTTCTTCGGGTTTCATGTCTAATAGTTCATCTACAGGTCCATTAGAGGAAGGGAAAGAAAACAAAATTATGAGTCAGTTTCATTTTGTAAGGAGTTTGTCAAATTTATTAAAATTGAGTCATTTTCCTTAATCTAGATTACCTGAGCATGCATTATGTGTAGAGCTTTTGTCTAAGGCAGATAAAACGCTTTTTCCATCTTCAGCTGTCAACAGAACACATGCATTTGGTTATCACCAATTCAGAATGGTGTGTATTCATATGCTATTGCAGTGTAAGGTAAACACAGAGCTCATCACACAGAAGCAGGGGTCCTGAGATTACATTCTGCTCAAACTGTTGGCTCTCCATGAATTGAGTTAACAACCTCGACTCTTTGCTCTGTTTGGTAGAAAACTATATGACACTGACTTAACAATTCTCCTTTCATGGACAAACGTGTGATTCAAGTAATTGACTATTGATGGTGCTACGAACCTTAGCCATTTGGGGCCTGGCTAAAATAAAAAGGGCAGATCACTGAGTGAAAGAAGTCAGCCTGTAAATGCTACATACAGCATAATTCCCACTATACACAATTCTGGAAAAGGCAAAACTATGTTAACAGTAAAAAGATCAGTGGTTGCCAAGTGTTTGGAGGAAGGGAGAGATGAACAAGGTGCAGCCACAGAGGAGTTTGACGACAGTGAAATTATTCTGAATAATACTCTAATGGCGAATACGTGTCATTGTATATTTGTCAAAACTCATAAAATGTGTAGCACCAAGAGTGAACCCTAATGTAAACTATGAGTGACAATGATGTGTCAGTGTTGGTTCATTGTCTATAACAAATGTATTACCCTGGTAGGGGATGCTAATAATGCATATGTGGGGACAGGGGGTATATGGAGATCTTTGTACCTTCTGCCCAGTTTTCTGTAAACTAAAAACTGCTCTAAATAATAAAGTGTGTGTCTGTGTATATGTGTGTATATACAACACAATACAACAGCCTTAAAACTTGGTGTGCTTGGGGTGGCTGGGTGGCTCAGTCGGTTAAGCATCTGCCTTTGGCTCAGGTCATGATTGTGGGGTCCTAGGATCTAGCCTCGTCTTGGGCTCCCTGCTCAGCAGAGAGTCTGCTTCTCCCTCTCCCTCAGACCCTCTCCTCTTGCTCATGTTCTCTCTCTGTCTCTCCCTCCTAAATGAATAATAATAATAAAAAAAACCTTGGGTTTGCTCCTGTGTACATTAGACTTTCTGTAGGTCACAAAATAAGACAGATGACACTTTAATTATGGTGGATTCCATTCTATGTATACCTAAAACAAGGTAATCAACATTTGCAATCTCAAAATATTATGCAAATACCACAAACAAGGGATCATACTACACAAAGAAAAAAAATCTGATTCTTTCGTATTATTATGTGATTTATATTGATATGGAACTTGAAGACATAATAAACTGGAGTTTACATTTTCCCTCAAAACTATAATATTTCTAGATTCCCACAACATAATTCATGTTGTCAACACCCAAGAGATACTGAGGTTGGAGGTGTGGATCCATACACTCAGAGAGCTCTTACATGGCCAACAGCATCAGGCTGACCTGCTTCTCTGTCTTCTATCACTTGCTCCCTCTCTGTCTCCAGAACAGTGTCTTTCTGACCTTCTCCTGGTCCTCTTTGGCTCATAGTCTTGGCCCAGGCTGTTTCTTTTACCTTGATAACTCCTGCAACAGCACTTGACTTAGCTAGGACCGTGAGCCCCTTAAACAGGTGGGGTCTCTCTATCGCACCTGCCCAGAACCCTTGCAGCTCTTATCAAAGTTGGAGTTGCCCAATTACTTGTGCAAATTATTAGATTACCACCTGCTTCCCCTTTTGACTGTGAGCCCCATCATGGGAAGGGTCTGAATATGTCTGGTGTACTACTGTGTGCCCAGAGCCTCCTGCTGAACCTGCCACACAGGCAGCACTCAATAAATATCTGTGGAACAGGGGTGCCTGGGTGGCTCAGTTGGTTAAGTGTCTGACTCTTGGCTTTGGTCTCCCGGTTGTGAGATCAAGCCCTGCACTGGCTCTGTGCTCAGTGCAGAGGCTGCCTAAGATTTTCTCTCTCCCTCTCTCTTTGCCCCTCCACCTGCTCAATGTGCTCTCTCTCTCTCAAATAAATAAATAAAATTTTAAAATAAATATCTGTTGAACAAATGAACAAATATGTGAGTAAAGGAGGGAGTACGTGCATGAAATGATGATATGAAGCCAAGTTAGAGAGGCAGATAGGTGAGAGGTTTTTGTTTTCTTTTGAAAGATAGATGAGGGAAAAGCAAATGAAGCAGTAAAGTGGGAGGAGAATAAAGCAGGTGAAGCAAATGGTTGGTAAAGTAGGAGGAAAGACAGAAGGAAGGTAGAGAGTGGAGGAAAAGAACAGAAGAGAAAGGAAGTCCCAGGGTCTGCTTTGCCTCCTCCTATCTCCTGGAAGGGCTGCCACAGCAAAGGGTGGAGTGAGGCAAAGGCGGATATGCCCCCCCGCCCTTCGAGGGCCAGGCTGAGCAGAGGGTTGGGGTAATTTCAGTTCTCTCCATATCACCTGTAAAGCTTTCTCTTGCATCCCTGAGGATTCGAGTCCCAGTGAAAAGCTCAGCATTACATCACCTTAGTCCCACCACGTTTTACTGTACCCTCCACTCCATTATGAGAAGAACCAGTGAAAGAACTAGCCATCATGGCAGGAGCCAGGAATAGCTGACAAACCTTTCATGGCACATTGCATCATCTACTAACTCTCCGATCGCTTTCCCAACAATTGGAGGATCAGCACACCCAAGGGAGCAGGTGTTACTCATTACAGAGCAGACTTAGGAATCACCTGCTAGAGCCGTGTCTGAGCTCTCCCCATCTGTTCCCAACAAAGACCAGCCCCCACCCCACAACACAGTGGAAACCAACTCACCCAATCTGATCATGTAATCTTATTAAAACTATCTTTGCAGCCCAAATGGCAGTTAGAACTAGTAATGGCAATAGCAGAAATGTTATCATCTGTTGTAAAAGAAATCGCTCTCTGTTAATTCTCCATTTCGGATGCTCCTCTGACGGGCTGCTGCAGAAGTGACTGACGGTGCTATTCTCTGGCTCACAATATAAAACCCTCTCCCAATAATGCTATTTAGTCAGCATCACCGATATTTGAAAATTTAAAACCGAAATGGTAAAAAAAGAAAAAGCAAATTAATATAGTATTTTCTCAAATGGAAAAGAAGAAAGGCCTAGGAGGAGTCTGCCAAAAAAGAAAATGAATTGATTGCTGAGCAGTATTTCAGAAGCAATTCTAAATAAAAATCAAAACTTACTCTTAAAACTAGAAGACTCCTTGTGCTGGTTTTCATCCTCTAATGAAATTAACCTTAAAATTAAAAAAAAAAAGTTTAGTAATCTAGTTCTGAAAATTTTATATTTATGATACAGCCAGATTTTTCTGTACAATATTACTGCACTTACAACACAAAGACGTGTGCACACACACATGAACATACAGTCATTTACATGCTATTCATTTTTTTAAGAGGAAATACTTTTGCTGGCTTTTTCCTCTCCTAAGGCTGGTTAGTAGCATCTTAATAACTGAATTTGGTTTCATCACAAGTCATATATTCTGTAAATATCTAGGTGGGCAGTTAGGTATAACTAAAATAGATACTGTACAGTTATCACTTTTAAAAACGTAGTTAAAAAACTGATGGGCAAGTGAGTATTTATTCTGATTCCTGCTGTTACAGGAGAGGACACCTCAGGAGGTTAGCTAAATTACTAAGGCTGAAAGCAAAAGCAGGATCCGTCTCAAATCCATAAGACTGTCACCTACTGAACTCTCACCATACCAGTTAAGATCACAGCAGAGACATATCACCACCCTGAGACTCAGCTGGTACCTTTGAACCTCCCCCTCTAAAGCACCTTTACCTGCTATTTTTGAAAAAAAAAAAAAAAAAAATTCTTGCTAAATTTCCATTTTGCATTTAAAATAGTTACTGGATTACACTTTTTGAGCTTTTAAAAAGAAGTACTAACATAATGGAGAAACCTGAAATTAAGGAGAACTAATCGAGACAATCTCGGGTGGTTCCTTTCTGAGTGAAGGCTAATACTTTGATTGCAGTAACATATATGGGTGAAAAGAAGGTACCAGAACTCATTCCAGGTCCTGCCTCTTACTACACCAGGGGCCATGGGCAGTCTCTTCACTTCTTTTGAGCCTCACTGCCATCATTTAAACAATGAGGAAATGTTGGCATTGATTACACAAAGGGTTGTTGTGAGAATGAGTAGAGAAAACATATAACAAAGCACCTGACATTGCACTTAGTATATAGTAGAGCTCACTAAAGGGTACTAAGCATTACTGTTATTACCAGGAATAGGTTAAACTGCTTCTCCCTAAAATAGTTAATTTTATTAGTTTCAGATCATATTCTATAGCTGTTCCCACAGTGAAAACCTGTCTTTGTTTTACACTAAAGGAATTTTCTAGTATTTGCTTTAAAATTAAAAAGGCTTGGGGTGCCTGCGTGGCTCAGTCGGTTAAGACTCAGTCTGACTCTTGATTTCAGCTTAGATCATGATCTCAGGATCTCATGTGTTGAGCTCCATACTCAGTGGGGAGTCTGCTTGAGATTCTCTCTCTCTGCCCCTAACTCCACTAAAAAAATAAATAATAAATAAAAGTAAAAAGGCTAATACTGGCAGCAAATACTTCTGTGGGACAAAAATATATATTTGAAATTTCAGAAACACAGTAAAAATACAAGCTGGTTTTACCATACAATTATCATCTAAATTTTTTTGTGTGGAGAAAGAATCCCAAATGGAGGTAAGGTAATCCACTTTCCTAGGTCAGCCAGTTCAAGACTAACCCTGTTCCTGCAAGCCCTGATATCTCAATAGGAAAGGATTCACACGGAAACTTCCTTGCTGAATGGGATCAGGACATATCGTGCACCACATATGTTGAGAAATTTGTCTCAGTAGGTAACATGACTGGAGGCCCCTTCTCTGTAAAGTGGCAAGAAATGGAGATGGAGCAGTCACTTCCTGCACTCTGCTTCACAGAGAAAAAAACAGAAGGTCTGAAGAGTAGGAAACAAAATGTCAGAACCCAACACTTTTGTATGATAACACCTTAGTACTCGATGTCTCCTGAGGCAATCTCATAGGTTATTTTCTTCTACGAGAGAAAAAGCCAGGGGATTTCCTATCTGGGACAGGATTCTGTAAATGATGGTAACAAAAGGACCAGATTGGGTCCAGAAGCCTGACAGAGCAGAAAGCTGGGGCTGAGGCCACCATACAGAGAGCACTGGAGACGTGTGCCTTTTCTCGTCCCAGTCAACTCCTCACAAGTGTGCTCCTTCTAAGACCCGAGAAATGCGTCTCTTATTGGGATGAATCCTGGCCGAGCAGGACTATGTGCAGGCCAAGTCTGGGCTTCATTTTAATACATCAACCCAGAGAAGTGAGGAAGTAAAGCAACTGGCCTGTGTTTGAGACCCCAACAGACTTGCCGCCCTTGCCTGTGGAAATAAAGATTTTGCCAAGAGAAGCAGCCATAACTTACTGCCTCGGCTCCTCCACGGTGGCCTCTGCACTTTCCTGCTGGGTGATCTTCCTTTCTTCTTTCTCAATCAGTTTTTTCATAGGGTCTTGTAAGCTCTTGATCACAATAATGAAAAGGAAAAAAAGAAAAAGAAAGATCAATAAAAAACTCAACTTCCTCTGGTCCAGAAACCAAACCTTGAATTCAAGGTTTGGGGAGGTTACCTTTGATCCTATCAAGTAGACAGAAAAGAGATTTTAAATGTTCTCAGACCCATCCAAGAAATACTAGCCTATAGAGGAAAATTGTTTTGCCACTAGATTTATGCTTTCCCCTTCGTGATAAGTTATTCAAAAGAAGGCCTTTTGGCTATTGCTAACTTTATTTTCCATCTTTAACATGCAGCAAAGATAAACATTCTGTTCTGCTTGCAGCCCACACACTGACAAAGTAGAAGTTTTCTCCCCCAAAGATGAGACAATTTCATTTTATTTTTAATTTTGTTTGTGATTTTATAATCTAAAAACAGCTTTTGAAAAATAAGAGAAAACAAAACCTTTTTTTAAGAAAAAACAAAACAAAATAGTGGCTTAACATATTCTGACAACTCCCACAAGTGGACAGAGCAGGTGCATCCAAATCTTTGTAGATTAAAAATGGGTGGGAATCTTTTTTTGGAACATAATTTCTTGGAGTTATTGTTCTCAAGTTTTATTAAATATTTAAGGAAAGACTTTTTTAAAAAATCCAGTGCCTAAAAACTGTACACCAGCAGCAAACCTGAAAAAAGCAAAACATTTCCATAATAACTGAATAATGAGTTATAAAAAGAGATCTCTACTTGTGGTTCTAATTAAACCACAAACCTACAAATTACACAACAAACATCTCAAGATACTTAACCTGCTTATAATCTTAGAACCTTTAAAATCTGTCCTTTGGGCCTTCCTGTCTCGTCCTCCTTCCCCTTCCCATCTTTCTCTTCTCTAGTGTGACCCACACACAGAAGGTGACAAGCACGTTCCCTACACCAACTCTGACAGATCTGTGATGTCTAGCTGCAGGTTGGATGGAGATGGTCTGGAGACAGAGTCTTTGCAGAGCAGAGCTATGATGGATGGCAGTGTCTGCTGTGGATGCCAGGTGGACACTGGTGTTATGCTCTCACTCCCTATACAGAATAATTTCCCTATAACACCCAAGCAATCATGGTACCATTTTTCTCAAGAACCCACAGTACTTCTGTATTTCTTTCCACTTCTAGTCTAAACCTGTCTGCCTGATTTGAAAGATCTTCTAAGATGGGATCCTATCCTAATCTCCCAGATTGCTTCCCTCTGGCTTCCAAATGGGAGCTTTCCATTCACGTAGGCCTGTCTCCTCATCGCCTTCTATGTGCTAATTGCCCCCTTCCTATCTTTGTTCATTCTGGTTCTTTACCCAAAAAAGTTCCACCTATTTGTCCACCCTCAAAAGTCTGATCAGTCTTTGCAAAGCCCAGATCAATTACTGGTATTTTCCTTAAAGCTTCATTCACTAAGCACGCCAAATTCAAGAAAGTCCTTCCATCTTCAAAGTGTATTTACAGTCCTATTCACATTTGATTATATCTATTCTGTATTATGTTTTGTTTCTTAAAAAAATATTTTTTAAATTAGAAAAATAATAGAACCACATGTAGAATGCTTGGAAAATTAAAAAGGAAAAACTACTCATAATTTGATTTCCCCCCAAAATTAGTTATTATTTGCATGTATTTCCTTTCTGGTTTTTCATACTCATACTACTTTATATAATTGGAATCATTGCATATAGATGTCTTCTTAAGCAATATAAGATGTGTACATATTTCATAATAAAAATTATTCCTCATCAGAGAATATAAAAAAGATTTTATATATCATAAACATTCAATATTAAATTAAAATAGGTAAATACACATTCATTCACCATTTTTCTAACATAAGGTCAAGGTTTTTTCATTGAATATATGTGCTATGATTGTAGTTCTGAAGCATTTTCTTGCATCCCAAAGGCATTGCCATCATTGGTAAGGACTATTTCTGGACATTTAGATTAGTACACTTAGTCAACAAATAGTTTTAGAGCATTTACCAAGAGCCAGGTGCTGTTTTGGGTGCTGGAGATACAATGGTGAACAAGACAGACAGAATTACTAGTTAATGATGGGTCTAAGGCAGGGAATTAACATGGGGGATACAAAGTGACTGGGTCACTACTTCAGTTAGCAAGAACATCCTCTCTTGGAAGTGACATTTCAGCTGAGAGTTAGAAGACAGGCAGGAGCCATCTGTGTGCAGGTCAGGGAGAAACAGAGGCCTGAGGGCAAAGGCCTAAAGGAAGGAATAGCTCGGCTTGGAGGAGGAACAAAATGAATCCACTGCGATTATAATATAGTGGGCAAGAGTACAAGTCCTAGGAGATCAAGATACAGAGGTCAGCAGGGGTCACACAGGGATAACATTTCTTTACCCACATTCATCAATATTTAACATTGTGCCCCATTGGCTTCATCATATTATTTTGCCCTTTATATCTCTCCAGTGCATGACAACGAAACGGGATCCATGATTATCAGCTGGAGGGGGAAATGTGATAAAGGACAGTATTGGAACAAACAAGGCCACTGGAATATGGACTGTAGTACAGATGATGTTCTTTTTTAAAATCATATACCCCAAAGCATCTGGTAAAAGCTGGGCATGTGTGTGTGTGTGTGTGTGTATTTTGGAAATATGCAACCATAAGGAGAAGTTCAACAGATGTCAAAGACTTACTCTTTTCAATAGATCTGCCAATCACAGCATTTTATTCACACACAGACACACACACACACGGACAGACACACACACACAGACACACACACACACCCTTCCAGCAGCTTTATTGTCCATAGAATGGTCCAACTCTGGTCAAAGTGAAGCCGGGAGTATTTTCAGCTGAGGTTCTGATGGCCCCAAGACACACTTTTCAATTCTGTGACGCTTTGTCCAGGCCTCCTGGTTTGCTCAATTACCTTCTCATTGCATTTCCTTTTTCTCAATCAGCACTAGGCAGGGCCAGGACATGTCTGCTCTCAGCCGGCTGTGTCTAGCTGCCACAGGGCTTGCCTAAGCCCCTGAGATGCCCTTGACAGCTCCATGGTTATCATCCCTTCTGTCTCCAGGCGGACCTCCCCTCATAACCACACTCCAGCAGCTCTCAGACAATCCCTTTGTAATGTAAACCACTCCTTCCTTCTTTTCAACCCCTTCCCTGTTGGGCCATTAGCAGGGACTCAATTGTTGGCTCCCTGTCACCATGATCACAGTTAAGTCACTATTGTGCTTCACTAACAGAATGGCTACAGTTCCAATCGCTACTTTATTATTAATAATTCCTGTTACCATTGCTCCTCTCTTCCTATTACCATTGTCCCTATAACCATTTGACTGTTGCCACTCAAGAGAGGTGTTAAATATGCACGTGTTTGGTTGATAAATTAATGTACCTAAGGTTAAACTTTAAGGTTAAAAATTATAGCTCTTTAGCTAGGAAATTCAAAGCCTCAGGGGAATAACAGGAAAAGGTTTATAGAACCATAAGCAAAATTAATACTGAACACCTGGGCTTATTTATTAAATATTAGAATTTTGAGCTAAGGGGAATCTTGTGTGGGGAATCTATCATGGGGGATACAAAGTGACTGGGTCATGTACCATAGAATTTACCCATCTAAAGTATACCATTCAATGGTTTTTGGTATAGACACAGAGTTGTGCAACCATCACCATAGTCAATTTTAGGATATTTTTAAGTGGCATCTTTTGAAGCAAGAGAGACTTTTAGATCAAACTGAGCTAAATACTCCTCCATACAGCAAGAGTAAAAAACCACAACAACACATATGGAACCTGTTTCTTACAAAGATGATAAACAATATAGCTAATAAAGAAACTTAGAGGCACTTTGAAACATCACAGAGCACGAATCACATCCCCTTTCCTCTCTCAGCACTAGTTCCTGGGTGTGCCTGTCCGATACAGGATATTCTACATGGTGAACTAGTGCTTTCTTCAAAGTTTGATGAAAAGGGCTAAGTGGGGGCCGCGGTGGAGGTAAATTCTTTATAGTATTTTAAAGTCCACAACTCAGCTAAAAATGCTTAACCCTACAGCATCTGTAAAAGTCAGGGGTGACAGCATTTTCTGTGTGACATGAACATCTGGTCAGGCAAAATGAGCCTAAGAGGCCTGGCTGATTGCACAGCCAGGGGTGGCCATCAGATGGAACTATTTTGAATCAGTGGCTGATGGAAGCCACATTCAAATCCACGTCCAGAAATGAAACGTCAAAACACTCTGTTTCTAGACCCCAAACCCAACTGGGTCCTTCATTAAAATTGCTTGTGAAAATCACTACGTATTAGCAGCAATACAGCATCGTGCAAGAATGAAACGTTTTGTACAGAGGAAAGAATGTTTTTAGACTAAGTAACCTTTCTCTGTTTAAGGCTGCACTGACATGCTAATAGTTTCCATCAATGCTTAAATGGTTTCAGGAAGCACACACACAATATATAAGATCAGCGTGACAGAGGAAATGCGCAGACTGAGCTTGCAAAAGTGTCTTAGAAAGGAAGCAGCTTAATATAATAATGGGAGTTACTACTTCCTGTATTAGGAAAATAAAAGCAAGAGCAACATTCATCTGAATGAAAGCAAAACTACTCACAAAACAAATTTCACAGACAAAAGGCTAGCAGCCAGCCCTGATATAATGACCTAAGTTTAAGTTTAGCCTTGACAATCGAGTGACATTTTCTCTAATCTTTAATTACAACATTTAATTTTCTTAGGCTACTTTCCATTAATTATACTGTATGCATATGAAGGTGCCGAGTGATTGTCTATAAAAGGAAATGGAAGTGCTGAAAATAGTGAGGCATGGTTAAAAGATGGTGAACTCAGCTGGGTGTGTGTATGTTTGTGTTTATATAATTGGTAGCACATGAGGAATAAAAAGCAGAGGCCAATGATGTGTATGAGACGCACAATTCATGGACGTTTAGCACACGTGGCCTCCCCACCCATGCAGTTATAAATCTCTGAAGATA